ATTTTATATAAATATAATATGTAAAATTTATGTATAAATGGATCTTGTTTATATATAATATGAATCTTATATATTACATTCATATAAAATCTTAATTATTCATTTTTTCACTTTTAATAATTAAAATTTATCTTATTTTTTAGATAAAAAGATAATTATATTTCATAAATATGAATAAATTTTAGACATTAAAAGTAAAAAAATAAAAGATTGAGATTTTATGTAAATATAATATGTAAAATTTATGTATAAATAAATCTCTACTTTATATACACATATAAATGTGACGGAAATATATTGGGAGTAAAAAAATTATACCTTCTGGGCATGAAACTACGTATTGTTTCTTGATCAATTCGAGTGTTTTTGAAGAAGGTTGAGAATGCAAAGTGCGGAATATGGAATAGAAACACCAAAAATGATACAATCTGCAAAAGAGAAATGAAATTAATTCTGTTTTAATTTATACTTTATAGCAAAGAGACTAAAAATTTGTTAAATAAATATGAGAATTCAATTTACTTAAATTCTTAAGGGAATTTATTAATATGAATTCCATTTCATTTTCAAACTAAAAGATAAGGAATAAAAGAAATGAGGGTTGATTTAAGGAATGACTTGTACATCTAGAAAAATTTTAGGTTAAAGTTATCTGAAAACTCTTAGATATGTAAAAGATAACGAAAGAAAATGAGAGAATTTGATTATCAAGTCAGACATAAGGAGATACTACCAATGAAAAAAATGCGTCAAAAATGTAATAGATAGATTTATTTATATAATGAAATGCATCAAAGAATTCAACAAAATCAAACATAACCCATTTATGTGGTACACTAAGAAATAAATATGCTTGCTATTTTTGAGCTGACCTTGAAATAAGCAGAGGTGGATACTACCAACTAAAAAAAAAAAAAGTTGTGTTGTCAGATGCAGATTCAAAAAATGAGACAAAAAACAATTGTAAAATGGTAATTAAATTAAAGAAAACAACAATTACAATTTTCTCAAAACAACTAGGAATGACTTTAATAAGGATATATCTACCAAAAGGCTTATTCACAAATTGCTCAGATATGTACTTTTTAATTATTTCAAAAAAAATTTAAAGAAGATACAACAAAATTAAAAACCAAAAAGAAAAGCACTCTAAAACCTTACACTTTGTAGGAGATCGAGGAGGAGTATAATTCAAAGAAAGAATAGACTATAGACTAAGCTTTAATAATTTAGTGATGAAGTTGGAAAAGCTTATATTAAAACCAAGCTTTTGAGAGAAGAAAAAATCAAGGTAAAAAAAAAAAAAACACACAGCGATCAAAAAAATATATACCAGCTGGTTCAG